AGGCCTTGGGGCTGCACCCCAGCTGGCACCCCAGGCAGAGGGCAGGCATTGTCCCCTTCCTGCCCCACATGGCTGCCCCACTGGCAGCACGTTAGTCAGGCATTCATCCACTGAAAACCCTTCCCACTGTGGTGCTCTTCATCTCTTGTCAGCACATAAACCATGCCAGCGCCAGCGCCTCCTGCCTGCTGCTACTCCAGGCCCCCGCCAGCCCAAGTGTGCCAGTCATTCTGGCGGGGATTGGGTTGCTCCTCTGCCCCCTCCCACCACCAGGGCACTGCCGCAGGACCGGGGGGTCTGGCGCCAGAATGGTGCCCGGCCTCCTCTAGGCTGGCCTGGCCTGGCTGCTGCTGCGCCACTGCCGCCTCCTCCTCCTCCCTCCCACTGGGGTGGGATGCCCATTTCAGCTTGGCATCTCCCAAGTTAAAATTAGGGGAGAGAGAGCAGCACTGGGCAGGAGAGAGGAAGACCTTGCCCTGCCGCACCACCTGCTGGGCTCTGCAGAAAGAAGCCCTGAAACTGACCGGGTAACCCCATCTCTTACCTCAGTGGGCACCGAAAGCCACAGATACTGGGAAATCGAGGCAAAAAAGCAACCAAGGTCCAACCAAACATCCCTCCTCCTTTTCTGGACATGAAAAAGGGACTACACATTTCAGAATATTATCTCAGTGAAATAGACCTGATATCAGCTCCTCCCTGAAAAAACACTGAGGTGTCAGGAATGAATGAAGCAAAACTCGAATGAGGAGGGCAGATTCTGGGAGAAACGTGGCTGCCCTGGAGGAGGGTAAGGGGGAAGCCACTATTTTAAACGGGCACGGCTACTGGCGATTCAAGGCAGTCTCACTCACAGACTGGGGACGAGGGCAAAGCCGTGGCGAGGGAAAGGCCGTTGTCTGGGCCTGACTGCCTTGCGGTCAAGCACAAGTGGGGACCTGGCTTAAGATGAGTTGCTTTATATGCCTCTTCTCTGCAAGGCCCAAAGCAGGCACAATAAATAATTGAAGCAATCACTACAGGTTAATTTATTTTATCTACTTATCAAACTTTACTATGGTGAATGAAGTAAAATTTCAAAAAATGTGAAATCTGGGGCATCTCAGGAGTTTGTGGCCTCCATGGCAGTCAGGGAGGGACCTGTCGCAAGTCAGTGACAGCCTGACACACCCTAGATCTGGTTTTTGTCTCAGGGCAGTTGAGATGCGGCCTGGCAGTGGAGGACATTAACAGTCTGTTGCCATAGACAGATCACTAGGGTCACCCCTCCCTGCAGGGAGACAGGGCCCGTTGGGTTGGCTCACCCCAAGCAATGGATGGACCTGGTGGGGTTCCAGGAAGAGCTTGGGGTTTTCCCTGAGGATCTGGAGGGCAGTTTGGCTGGGGCCCTTGTTGCTACCTGGAACGGGCGGATGGCTGGGGCCTCGGATCGCATTGCTCCTATGCAGCCTTCCCTGTGCACCGGTCCCAGGGTGCACCTTGGTTTTCCTAGCAGCTCTGGGAGACGAAGCACCAGAAGGGACACCGCACACACCTGCTCCTGCCCACGTTGGAGGAAGACTCGAAGGGACTCTGGACACGGGCAAGAGCCCATGTTAGGGATTGCCTTGTGGCAAAAGGGAGGCAAAACATCAATATTGTTGCATCTATGTATTGTCGAAGGCTTTCACGGCCGGCATACGATGGCTGGTGTGGGTCTTCCGGG